TCTTCGCAGTGTCTCATTGAATGTGTGCGTGTGTGTAAAAAAATGTGGTGTGAAGTTTGCAGCATCACGTGCAGCTATTTAATTGTTTACCGCAGATTGTCGTTGCGTTGACATCTTTACGTAATTTAGCTCAACCTTCCATCGGGTCGTGCTTCCCCTTACACTTCCGTTTATTTCCTTGCCTTGGTGAGGAAGCACGAACTCCACAAAGGCAAGCATTGATGCACGCGGCATTAGAAATTTCATGACATTCATCAATTACTTTCCAATTCTTCATTTTATCCTTTGCATTCGTCAGTTTGCAAAGCTGTTGTGGCCCTCCTTCTTCGGATGGGACTGAAAATCTGCGGTGCGAAATGTTTTGGTTGTGAGGTCCTAGAGAGTAATGTGTGGTTTTAAACCGCTTAGCTCTTATCAAAGTGGATGTCAGAAAATGTTCTACAAGCGAACCATTCCATTAACTAAAATCAGACTGAACGTTTGCTATTAGCCTTACAAATCTAGAAAACGGTGTCATTCTACTTAAATCCAATTTAAGTAGCGCTCGCTCCACTTCGACAACATGAGTAGAAATGCGAAGACCGAGTGATGGAAGAAACAATTGACTGAAGAATGTATCGTTTATGTCCAATAATACGACAAGTCTAGAAGTGTGATGTCGGTGTTGATGGGAATTTCGGCGATGATAGGTGTTTGCCCTTGAGCCTGTTGCTATTTCCATCACCTTGAGTGCAGTAGAAGTTGCATGCGTAGAAATAGGGGTGGAGTGGGGTCGTATGCCACGTGGCAGTGTGAAAGTGTGTGTGTGTGTGGTGTGAAGTCTGCAGCATCACGTGCGGCTATTTAATTGTTTACCGCAGATTGTCGTTGCGTTGACACCTTCTCGTAATTCAGCTCGACTTATCGTTAGAAGGGAGGTGCATCGAATCGTCCATTCTCTCGACGCTTCACTTTCTTTCCTTGCTTCGGTGTGGAAGCACACGCTCTACAAAAACTAGCACCGCCGTTCTCGCTTTCACTACACCAAATAACCATCCTCCCCTTTTTACACTCCTGACAGTACCAAACACGTTCTTTTCCTTTGCATCATCGTCTTTCGCCTTTAAAGGGACTGCTGTTGCACCACTGACGTTGCCTAGCCTCCCATTGTTAGTGTTACGACGGTGAGGAATCTGAAATGAAGGTCTGCGAGTGGGTTCACGTCAACCAGATTTGAAGGAGGCATGCAGACATTCTTGCAAAGGTGAAGGCAGGTCTGCAGACAACATTTGCTAATTGGCAGCGGTGTGGAGTGACGACAAAGTTGCGGTGGTACAGTTGCAGTGGCATTGGTGAGTGGAGTGTTCACTTGTGATGTCACAACGATCTGATTGTTAAAGCGTTTTGGTTGAGAGTTAGGAGGGGTGGTAAAGTGCGACGCAAGACTCACCCACGTTGTAATAACCGTGAAGTGAAAAATACGTGGACGAATTACTCGTCAGTGCATTAGGTGATGCTGCTGAGAATGTGGAAAACAGTGAAGAAGGTCTTAACTGTCAGGTTCGGCTCTATTCTTTGCATCTAGAATTGCTGATTTCAGAATCGCTGGTAGTGCAATTGTGGAGAAGGCTAGTGGAAATGAAGGGGGTTGCATAATTACTGCAAGATGTTGCTTGGTGCTGTGCAACAGTGTTCGGGCGAATGCATGCTCAAGGGTGCAGCATGTAAGTTTAAAACGCTGCTCCAGACATGCACTTCACCGCAATTCGTGTTGTGGCTTGTGGAGAAGAACTGGTTGTTCATCGCCATCCTTCCTTGGAGATGCGATGCAGCTGTTGGTCATTGGAGCTGCAAGAGGTGAGGCCTTTACGGGGCACTCGGTAGCCTCTCTGCGGTTTAGATTGTGTTGATTTGTCATTTCTTTCTGCCTCTCTAGCCTCGTCACTACAATTGTGCACATTTTGATGAGAACTTAACCTCATTGTTGAATTTCTAATGCTTACTGCAAACTTTAAGCCAAGTTCCACTAAGTGTCAATTGACTTCGAAGTCGCTCTGCTTCGGTGTCAAGTGTCTCGCGTTGTCTTTGTCGCAGAGTTGGAGAGAATCGGGCACGTAGGCTTAGGCAGGTGATGCTTTGGTTTATTGGGGCGCAGTTTCCTTTAGTGTGGGTTGGGATGCGGTGGGTATTCTTGGAGCTGAGGCAGCTAACAAATTGACGGAGACACGAGAGTCGTTGATGCATGCCAAACGAATGACTGAGCGGAAGTTAGGTAAGCCTTGTGTCTGGTCGTCATGTGAATGCCATTTCCGCCGCACATCTTTAAGGTCATTGAAAGTCGCCGACAGTTAATCATCGAATTTCG